TTACCGTCAACTTCGAAAGCACTGTTCTTGCTGTATTTTTTCTTTCATCATTTCTTGTCTGCCTGACCACTTTTCTTGCCACCAAGGGGTGCTTTTGATTTTAAACAGAAGGCCATTTCTCTAATCAGTGCCTCTACGGTTTGACACTCCGAAGGGTAAGGCTCCCTTTCCCACCACCCTGGGGCCATACCTTCACAGCCCTTCTCCTGGAGATCACTGCTGGGGTCCAGAGAATCGGGCTGACACAGGAGAACCCTCAGTCTCCTGTGACTTTATGAAAGAAAGGTGTGCAAGGGTGAAAAGCAAAGGGAAGGGACCACGGCACACCTGAGCTGCAAGGTGAGAGGGTTTCTCATGCCTGGTGCACACCTCACGGTGACCTGCCTGAGCCGCTAACAGAAAGTGGGAACGGTGGCTCAGCTGCTCATGGCGCGGGGAAAAACAGCCCGCTGGTCTCGGGGTCACCGAACCAAAATAGTGCCATGGCCAAAGGGATTAGCGCGGAGAAGGCGGCAGACCCTCCTGCTGGTACCAGCAAAGCCCTCCCCAGCGTGCTTGAGGGCTCAGAGGCTGCAGCTCTGGCGCGGCAGCACACGAGCAGGAATTGCGGGGGTCCTGACAGTTTCAGGGACCTGATTTTTGGGTGCTCACCATAAATCACTGAGGGTCAGCTCACCAGTGATCTTCCTATGGGAGCTCATAAGTGCCTGCGTTTCAGCTCTCCCAAAAAACTTTCATCCAGTTTTGAGAATCCCATCCCTTGTCCTCCCTTGCTGCAGACCCGACGTATTAGCAGCTGTGGGAGAGCTGCAAAACCCCCCTTGGCTCCAGCCTGCGCTAGACGAGCACCCGCTAGGACACGACACCCTCCAGGGCCAGCATGCATTAAGCTACAGAGGGATGATATTTGCCAAAAGACCACATCAGGAGCTGGAGGGCTTTGTAGGTTGTACATATTTGATCAAGCCAAGCAGCCCCTTAGGAATACCACAGATAAAAGGTATATACAGCAATGTGTATCTCATCTCCACGGTGTTTCTGTGCGCAGATATTTGGATTCAGATCCAAATCAGAGTTACTGTTTTTTTAACATTAAACTGCAGTTTTTAAACCCTAAATTCTGCTGCTGTCCAGCCACAATACCGCAGGAGTCACATCTCACTGACCTGGATGGAGTGAGTCAGGAAGAAGGTGCAGGAGGCCCAGGACGGTCCACGTGCCCAGTCTCTATTAATCAAGAACACGGGGGCAGGTACAGTGTGATAGAAGTTGTGAGAGCAGGATGGTTTTTGTAAACTACATGCCCCTGTAACCTCCTGAGCTCTTCTGGTGTTGGTGGCATCCTCCACATGCCTCCCACCAAGGCAAGCCCAGCTTCCAGGGTAAGCTTTCATGGAAGGGGCATCACCTAGTACTGAAGCCAGTCTTCTCATAGCTGAGGCTCTGAATCACCTTACTTTTCTGTCTCTGCATAAACTGACATAAAACTGCTTGGGAAATGGCTACATATGAGAAAGGAAGTGAGAGCAGTAAGGATCAAACTCTTGCTGTGAGACTGCACAAACAGAAAAAGGGGAGTTGAACAAAAACCCCCGTCATTTACAGTAACACCACCACAATTGGCATGTACAAATGCTTGTTCACACAAAGAGAGGTGTTCAGATGGAGAAATAACATCGAACATTTCTACCAAGTTTGGAGATGCAAGCCATCACATTTGCCTGCTAAGGCTTCCAAAAGTGGCCAACAGCTCAGGCCATCCTGGGAAGATCTCTTCCCAGTACAAGACGAAACGCAGCCCTAACCACTTCTACCTGCCATTTTGGTCAGAAAATTAACTGTACACTTGGATGCTAGAATGAGCACGTGCCCTGAGGCCGCGCAGCCCTGCTGCCTCGCACGGCACAGTACAGCCCCAGCACAGCAGCGAGAGGGGGAAATTCAGCAGCCTGTGACAGCGCTTTGTTCCATGGAACAACAGAATGTCACTGCAGACTCAGATTAATCACTTCCCTCCAACCCAGACACCTGGAAACCAAGCACTAAGCTTTTCCCAAGTGTTTGAAGTGCCAGTCTTCACTGGTACGACAAAGCAGGGCTGGATCTTGGGGGACTCCTAAGTAACCCCTGCACCTTCCCCAGAGACCACTGCCCGATGCAACCCTTGTCCAAGGCGGGGAGGGGGAGCTCAGGACCCGCGGTTATTCTTGTGTTTGAGACGTCTCAGATCTTACAGATGCACCAGCTTTACCCTTCCTTATCTCTGCTAAAGCTGGGCTTTGCTTCTCAGAGCAGCCCAGGCAGCCTGCCAGAGCAACCTTCCTCCAGCTGATAGATCGGCAGCCATTGCCAGCCATCAGCTTTAACTGTGAGACAGTGGGTTGCCATCTAAGACTCACCCCTACCACCCAAACAAATAAAAAGATGTCAGAGAGCTCACAGATCGGGGCACTGCACAGATATCAACCAGCTAGACTCCGCAGAAGGCCGGGGAAGGCGAGAGCCATCAGCATTTTATGCTAGTTTTGCCTTTAGGGAACAAGAAATTAATTTCCCGGAGGGGCCAGAAGCACTGCTGGACGTAGAGCACATGCGCTCATTGCACATGGATGCACGAGCCCTTCCACGTAACAGCGCTGGCGGCTGGGAGCGGCCCGTCCGGCTGCTCAGCTCGCCGTCTCCTCACGCCTTGGCCAAGGCGCCCGGTGTCGACGGGAGGTGGAACAAGCTGGGGTCCACAGCGCGTTTATCTGACCGCCCGCTCCCTGCTCTGCAGGTGGTACAGCACCAGGGTGGGGGGGTTCTACTGAAATGAAAAAAGGAAAAGCTATCTCAAGTAGCAACCGGAGATCCCTGCCAGGAACACGTGTATCACAGATACAACAGATTGCAATGGGGAGAAGCGGCACTGGCTCCATATTCCTCACTCTACCCGCAGTTGTTTTACCAGGCGAAGTGAAACCGTGTCTTGACAAGTGCATTTGCAAAGTAGAAAACAGGAAGCACTCGGGTAATTATTTAAAAAGCAAACAGCTTTACTTTGAATGCAAACTACTAAATTACTCTTCTATCTTTACATTCCTTTTACTCCCGTTAATTACTGCATCTCTTTCTGCTTTAAAATTCATAGAAAATCTTGCTGTCACATGCAAATCACATTCCCGTTTGAGGAGAAGTGACTGAGTTCTTCCCTTTAAAATCAACTGAAACACAGAGCTGTGCCTTAAGTGAACTTACCAAAAACTCGTCTACAAACTCTTCTCGGTTGAGCCTCTTGCCTTGGGCCCTTTCCAGGTTTTGCAGCAGAATCTCCCTTTGGTCCATGTTGCCGGAGACCACGCGACTGGTCTGCTGA